GGATTGAGTCCCGCATCGGGCTCCTTGCTCAGTGGGGAGCCTGCTTCTCTTTCTGCTTCTGCCTGCTGCTCTGCCTGCTTGTGTTCTCTCTCTCTCTCTCTGACAAATAAATAAATAAATAAAATCTTAAAAAAAAAAACTGTTTTTTAAAAAAAAATGGGGAAGAAAAATGAAATGGCAACAGGTCCTGCCTCTTAGCAACACCTGGCCAGCCCTCTCTAGATTACCGTTGGTGCAAACTTGTGTGGGTCCCTCTGTAATGCATGAGTCCAGGAGGTCTGTGTCTGACTCAAGCACACCCAGGTATTGGTGTCTGAGGAAAGCAAACATATTCTTCGGAAAAGGTTGCAGCATATATTTTGTTGCTCTGTTGTGGGATGCTCTCTAGAGATGGTGCTAGGGGAAAACAATTGTGCCAATTTTGAGATGTCAGACATTAGAAAAATATACTCAGAGATGCCATAACTAGATTGTAGCAGCTATTACTGTAAAGAGCAAATGCTCCTGACTTGGAGCTACCAAAGGAAGTAGCCCCTGAAAGTTACTAAGAACTATCAGAAAGCCCTCTAGTTGGGACCCATGTCCACTGCTGAGAACGAACAATAATTAGAACCATTATCACTGAGAGCCACCACTAGAAAACCACAGATAAAATAGCAGACTTCCCAGCCCTCTTCCCGTCATCTTCCCTAAATAGGAGATGCAAATCCTTTTATCTGCTGGGCATTCGAGGGAAAGATAACAAATGTTGGCCTTTCAATATATTCCAGATTGAATGTTTCCAGACAATAAATATGGAACTGTTAGAGACTCAAAAACTTTCAATATGGGTTTTACTGAATATAAAGACCTTGGATTGTAGCTCAACCTTCAGACTTTCAATAATTATGATAACATTTATTGTTGCTACACTGAATGCCATCTACTGTTCTAAGTATTTTTGTATGTATTTACTCAATGTAATAACTATGAGGTATGTGCCTTTACTATACCCATTTTACTGATGAGGGAAAGTTAAGTTAAGTGCACAAAAGTTAATTAACTTGCCCAGTTTTTAAGTGAGGAACACAGACTAATTCCAGAGCTATGCTCTTTCTTCTTATACACCCAGAAAAAAAATGCCCCCTCCCCAAAGATAGCCTCATCCTAATGCCTAGAACCTGTGAATATGTTACATTACATGGCAAAAGGGACTTTGCAGGTGAGTTTAAATTATGGACCTTGAGATGAGGAGATTATCCTGGATCCAGGTGGGCCAAATCTAATCACATAGATCCTTAGAGATAGAGAATCTTTCTTGGCTCTGGTCAGAAGGAAATGTGAATAAAGAAGAATGGTCAGAGAGATATACAGTTGCTGGCTGTGAAGTTGAAAAAGGGGGAGTATGTGCCAAGGAATGGGGACATTTATTAGAAGCTGGGAAAAGCAAGGGAACAGATTTTCCCCTAGAGATTCCAGAAAATAATGCAACCCTGCCAGCACCTTTGTTTCAGCCCAGCAGAACTGGTTTTGGACTTCTAACCTACAGAAGTATAAGATAATAAATTTGTGATGTTTTAAGCAACTAAATTTGTGATAACTTGACAGCAGCAGAAAAGTACTAATAAATACTACCTTGTTGAAAAAGAGTTACTGAGGCATTTTCCTTCCTTGGGCAAAATGGTTTTACTATAAGCTTAGGTGTATGTGTTGTTTCTCTTGTTTTGAACGTATTATGTGGTTATTTGTCCCACATTTAACACTCAACCAAATGTTACAGAAATTGAGCATACTTTAAGTCTTGCAGCAGAGCTATATACAACTGACCAGATGCCATGATATGGATCTTTGATAACATACATGATGGCTTTTTACCAAACAGTGGGAAGTTACTGTTCTAACATTCAGGAATACAAATAATCTGATTCCTCACCGAATTCTGTCATCAGGGCCAAAGTATTTTTTGAAGTCTCAGAATAAAATGAATTTATTAAAAGGGAGACTGACACATTACTACAACGAGCTTTTCCAAAACTGTACCAAAGTCATCAATAGTCACCATAACAGATACCACAAAATGGGTTGAGTTATTTTTCTCATATGGCTGTATTTATATACACAAATACAGTGAAAAGTCAGGCACTGGCCTTTGCAGGCAGTCTTTTGGGAAACATTCCACCTCCACAAATTATGAATGCCACAGACCCTTATCAAATGTAACACTCATTGCTATCTGCTTTGACTAAAGTGGCAGTTTGCTGCCTGATAAGATATATCTGTATATCTGTATAAATATAGAAAAAAAAAAACTATACCAAGGGGCCGTAGCAGTTTCTTAGTTGCTGAAATGTATTGATTGAAAAGAAATATTATAGCTTTAGAAAGCAGCAATAAATGCTTTGGAAGACTCAGGCCATCCTAAGAATAGCTTCAAATCAAGTCTTCAGGGGGCTCCTGGGTGGCTCAGTTGGTTAAACACCCAACTCTTGATTTTGGCTCAGGTCATGACCTCAGAGTCATGGGATCCAGCCCCGCATCAGGCTCCACGCTCGGCAGGAAGTCTGCTTGAGACTCTCTCTCTCCCTCTCCCCAACCCCATGCTTGCTCCCTCTCTCTCTCTCTCTAGAATAAATAAACCTTTAAAAACAACAACAACAAGAAAACAAGTCTTCAGAACAGAGATTGAATCCCACAGAGCTTTGTGATGGATGAAATTAAACCTGCCACATACATTACACTCATATTCTTTCAGCAGTCAGGTTGTGGAGCATTACCTGTTCCTCCAAGCATTGTAGACACGATCGTAATTTAGCTCCTATGGTCTGGATTCATACAAACATTATTAAAATGGTTCTCGCAGAATAAGCTGGAGAAAAGCAATCAATATTAACTAGGTAGCCCAGATGTTGACTGCTGGGATAAATAGTCAGAACAACTTCATCTCTACCACCCAGAGATGTATTGGCTTATTTTGAGCAACAGTGGCATTCTGTCTGTTGTACAGAGACCCAATAGCAGAGGGGGACTGCCAGGAGGACCAAGCACATACAGTCTCCTGGACAGATGGAATGAGTGTTATGTGCCTGGTGTGTAAAGGGCCATAGGGATTATTTTTGTTTTCATAACCAGTGTCATTCCCTGGTCTGGTGGATTCACCATCATTCCTTATGTTACTGTCCTTTCCAAATAACCTGTTTTCTTATTCCTTTTGAATTGACCATTTGTACAACTGAATAGACAAAATTAACAAGCTGAACATGATCTGAATAGTGACACTGTTAATCTAAAATTTTTTTAGTTTTTATTATTTTCTTAAGGCTAAAAGCAGTACATAATCGTTGTAGAAAATATATATATGTATGTATATATGTGTATGTATGTATACATACATATATGCATGTATATATATATACATATGTTTTTTCCTTTTTGATTTCATATACATGCATATATGTATATACATATGTATATATACAATGAAGTCTCATTACCTAGTACAACCACTGCTAATATTTAGGAATATACCCTTTACACAAATATGTATATAAACATGTTTCAGCAAAAATAGTATGATAATATAGTAATAGCATCATAGAGTATAATGTTTTATAACTTCCTTGTTTCACTAAGGACTAGTATACTTTTGTAGCTGCCACCTAGAACTTCATTTTTAATGATCACATATCATATTATTGTGTGACTTTACTGTAATTTATTTAATCAGTTCTCTGTTATTAGACTTTTAAGTGTGGTTTGTAACTTTTATTATTACAAATAATACTATGATGAACATATTAGTAAATGAAAGTTGCAACTTGTCTAGTTATGCCCTTAAGCTAATTTCTGGAAGCTGAATTGCTGGTTAAAAGTTACACAGTTTTCTAAGGATTTTAATGGCTGTCTATAGTTTCATCTTTAAATGGGAAGGAAAACAGATTAAAATCAGAAAGATAAAAATCATTCAACATCTTTAAATTAATAACTTTCATAAAGATCTGAAATGCTAAATGAAAACACACATAGAAGTATTTCAACTAGGGCCTTCTTGTTAAACAATTCAAATACACGTGCATAAGTTTAATGGGTTTAAGTGAGAGTTATTAAGTTTACATACAACAAATAAGATGATTCCCTAAATAACAGGCAATGACTTTACAATATTATCTTCTATTCTATTAATACTTATTTAGGAACGAAAAAAATAATGTCAACTGTATTGAGATATCATCTTTATTATTTAATACATACTGTTATGTAGATTATTTATATTTTTAATATTTCATAACTGTTGGTTTCTTGACTTTTCTTCTACTATATTATGAGCTCACTGAAGCCAAAAATTATATTCTGTGTATCTCTGTAACACTAGTAATCAAGCCCTAGCATATGGTAGGCATTCAATAAATGTTTGCTTTATATACATGGGCAACAAAATTAATTTGACTTTTTTATTAACTAAATCAGTTTCAGGATTCTGTAACTACATTGGCAGAAACATTATGTTTAAATTGCATATTGGAATTTTCTTATGTTTAATTTGTTCATATATATTTTATATTAAAATTACCAGTAATATACAAAGTAATACTGATTAAAATAAACTAGCATCTGTATGTAATCCTGATAAGGTTTTTAAAGTGTACACTGAACTTACAACCTATCAAATAGAAGACATTTTCAATGAAGAATAACTTAGGATGATTTCAGAATTATATAAAAGATGGTGTAATACCTTGTTTCAAATTATTTAAGAAAGAAATTAAGACTATGCCATGAGATTACTTTATAAATCATAAGTGCACTTTAAAAATAAGATCAGCTTTTGTTATGCAAGTAAAGATGTTACTGTTCTTAAACTTGAAGAGTGGTGCGCTCCTTAAAATACTATAAAAATCTTTGAAGCTTATATGTGGAAACTGTTTTTAGTCTGTTTTCATTGTTTTTTATGTGAATGAAAAATTTTTTAACTAGGCCTAGTACTTGATGATACAATCCTAACCTCTGTTACTTCTGACTTATAGGGTATCTTTGTTACTAGGGTTCAGCCTGATGGACCAGCATCCAACCTGCTGCAGCCTGGTGATAAGATCCTTCAGGTAAGAGAGACAAGAAGCACTGTTTTCAAATGCCGCACTAAAACAAATATGTACTCACTTATGGAGTGACTTGAATTAAATGATTGGAAATAAGTCCTTTTCACATTTCTTATTTGCCTTTACTTTGGGCGGTTAAGAAGCAAATCAGAAGCAAAATCAATCTGATATAATCCTGTATATTCCAGTATTTGGCACATGGTAGAAAGTTCTGAGTATTTTTATTTATATAAATACTGGGGGTTTTGGTGATACAAGAAGAACTGAAACACACAAGATCTATGCAGAGCTATCAAGTATAAGTAAGAGTATTGGAGTACTAAACCAGGGAATCTGTGTGACTTTGGATGAGGAAGGGACTCCTCCGTATTTAATTTCTCAACAGTAAGCTTATTACAGTTTGAATACCGTGAAATGCATGATTGTATGCCCCTACTCCCCCTTCTCAGATACTTGAACAGATGTTTACCAAATATAAGGTGACTTATTAAAATGTACTGTCTGATGGAAAGGACTTTCTCTCTAACTTAAAGCTCTATGTAACAGAAAAGGGTCACTCCAGAAAACAGTTAAGAAAATTCTTGGTGTAACCATTTTGCTGTCTTTATTCTCTTTGAATTCACTTCTGCTTAGTCATTTCCTATATTCCAGGGAAAAGCCCTTAAGTATCATCAGTTTATTTAAGATTCAGTATTTTGACTTATTACCCTGAAATTATCCACTATATAACTAGGTGGAACTATCTGACATTTTAGATATTGAACCACTGAAGCAATTATGAAATGGTTCCACATAATATATTGAAGATATAGGGACATTGAGAAGATAGGACATGTGGGAAAGGAACATTCTTGTTAGACTACCAACAGTTACAGAATGCAAGGACCCCACACAAGTCAGCTCTACGGAGATATTCTATCTTTTATTTACTGAACACTTTCAAAAAGTCCTAGAGAAGTAGAAATCCTATATAATCGTATATACTTATATTTTTATATATTATATATATAGCCTTAATATTTTATTCTCAGAAATATTTTAAATGAACTAGCAATATCATGAAAACTCAAGTTTTCAAAAATAATAATTCTCTGAAGACCTCAGGTTGCTTGAACCTGTGACAATGTCACAGTAGAAATCGCATCCAGCAGATTTGAGTCCATTCCATGCAGGCAGAAGACCAAGCCAGCAGTTGATCTTCAGAGTTAAAAATCTTGAAACATAAAAGACACATAAAATATTCTGAATTTATTTTTACCATTTGGTTATGGAAGTTCTATATTTTTTATTTCCTAACTAGCTCTCTGATCTTAAGCATTTTATATCATGTCTATAGGACTCACAATTATTATGTGTAAATGAACTGTGGTTTATATTATATTATATTATATTACATTATATTAACTGACGTCCCCTCAGCTTAAAAATTCAACTGTTCAATAATTCTATAAATTTCCATGAAAAATGGTCAAGAATAAATTCACAATGTAGTTCCCTAATGCTTGGTAAATGCTGTTGTTTAGCAAAGGAAGTGGATAGTCTTTTCCTCTACTGAATTTCAAAGAAGTTATTTTGAATCTCTGAGTCTGAAAAAAAATGTAGCCAGTTAATCTCAGATCTCTGATCTATTTGAATGCCCTACCGGTTAGAGAGGCCTTCCATAGCTTGAGACAGTTTGGGAGTAGCCTTCATCCATGACAGAGTTGGCAAAAGAAAGGTTTTTCTCTCAGATTCAGAAAATATTTTATATATATATACACACATATATATATGTATATATATACGTATGTGTGTATATATGTATATATATATACATATATATGTATATATATACATGTGTGTGTATATGTATATATATACACACACACATGCACATACATACACATATGTGTATATATATGTGAATAATATGTGTATATATATGAATGTTAAATGTATATGTTATATGTTAAAATGTTATATATCCATATATCTATAGACAAGTGATAGATGATAGACAGATAATCAGTATAGATGAATATAGATATCCTGGAGAAGGGAAATGAGAATTCAGTTAGTGTCTAGTTGCAGGGTTAGAATACTCTTTCCTGACTGTGCAATTCTAGAAGGATTTCATGGGGGAACATGAGGTTTGAGTATTTCTAGTCCCTAAGAGGTATACAGCAACGGCAAAGCGCACCAAGAAATCAATTCCTAATGCAAGAAGTAGGAAGGAATTATAAATCTGTTAAAATTATAAATCAATCTGTTAAAAACCACAAAACTGCAGGAGAGCTGCACCTGGGTTGGCTCTTCACTCCACAAATGACTAGAAAAGGTGTAGCACTTTATTTTTGCTCTAGAACTCATTTGTATCTAGTACAATAAAATCAAAGTCCATTTTCAGCAAAAGAAAAATGCACATAGACCATAATCAGACAAATTACTATATTTACAGTTTCACTCATACTAGTTAAAAAGCACAAGTGGCTAATTATACTTTCTGAAAGAGATGAGATTGGCTAATTCTAAACTGAAATCATTGTCAGCATCAGATGTTAAGAGGGCAAATTATATTTTTGTCTATAAAGCTATTGGCTCTTTGTTTAAAGAACACTGGAAAAAATGAGTTGCCTCTCATTTAGAAGATCCTTAAAATATGTGATCCCTGGAGCAAATTTGTTTACTAGCTTTGATGACAATGTAACAGCCTAGAAAATCAAGGTAAAAGGAACAAAGAAATAAACAACTACAACAATAACAAAAAAAAAAACCCACAATGAATGAGCCTCCTAAGTGATGGCAGTTACCAGGTTTGATCTAACCCAGTAGCAAATAGCAAAAAAGATACACGTTTCCCAAATCTCCCCCAAGCCCCAAATTTATTATAGAAGAGCTTTCTCTTTCTTTGTCTATAACTCTTTTTACCCACTATCTCTTCTTATTCTGTTATGGGATCATGAACATGTTACTGGAATTACATAAAGAGGTGTGCATTAAGAGATAATCTTGTTTCTTTTTTAAGAGATAATGATGGAGAGGAAAAGTGAGTTGGGGAAAATCAGAAAGGGAGACAAACCATGAGAGACTGTGGCCTCTGAGAAACAAACTGAGGGTTTTGAAGGGGAGGGAGTGGGCGTTGGGTGAGCCTGGTGGTGGGTATTAAGGAAGGCAGGTATTGCATGGAGCACTGGGTGTGGTGCATAAACAATGGATCTTGGAACACTGAAAAATTACAAGTTCAAGAATAAATTGAATAATCTAACAGTAGAGCATCATTAAGAAAGAGAGACATAAAAATGGAAAGAAATATTATGTTCTCAAACAATCAAATAATCACATATACACTTTAAGGACTTTTATTTTTCAAAAATCACTTTATAAATATAATTCAAACAAAAAGCTTAAATTAAAATTATGAGTTAGTTTAAAAAAAGATAATCTTAATTAAGACATATTCACATGACGTTTCCGTCCTTTTACTGTTCATTTTCCCAGAATAAATACACTATAATTAATGAATATATTCATATGACCTACTGTTTAGTGAGTCATGTTGCTTTAAGACCCTTTGGAGGAGAGGCTAGCCATCAGGCTGGGAAAACTGATCCCTCCCAGCCCCACCCTCCTCCACAAAGTCAAAGCACACAGGGGTGAGAGAGAACAAATGTAAGCACATGCATCATAAAAAAAAATGTTATTAGATTGAACCATGTGAATTTGCCAATATTTGACCATTTTTGAAGTGTTAATTTTGTTGGTTTAACATTATAGTTTCTTTTTTCTAATGTTCTTTCCAGTTAAACAATTCAATCTAATTTATTATGCATTTTAAATTCAAAATATATTAAAATACAGAAAATCTATTAATTATACTCTGTTGAAAAGATGAATAGACTGGAAAAAAGGAATTTATTGTACTTGATAGTTAACATGGTTCATAGTTATTGCCTAACGCTCATTTGTAAGTACATTACACATTATGTTACATATCATATTTATACATACAATATTCTATTATATCACTATAGTCAAACTCTATCCTCTTCACTTACCTGCCCACCCCTTTCCCTGGACAGGAGACTAATTTGGCAGGAGAAACAAAAGTAAATGATTTATAGATACTTGTCAATAACATCCAGGTTTTACCAGTTATCAAAACAGAGTTTTCTCATATAAGGTATACTAATATCATACCTAATTGAAGATCATTTCAGAGTCTCTTCTACTGTACCATAATTTTAAGTGTTTTCCAAAATATATTCCTCATCGATGACTATATCTCTAAGATACCCAAATAGAATAATCAAAAGATGTAATTTGAACAAATCAGGTATTTCCCCTTTTTTTCTAGTCTTAAAAAAACCTGGTTCTACAATTCAGACAAATCAAGAACCCACTCTGAATGAATACTTGTCTGAAATTTTAGTCAGCTGTTGGTAGGTTGTTGGCTCAGAGTGCCTTATCAAGAGAGTTTACTCTTGATGGAGCAGGAGTTACTCCACGGTTAACAGAGAGGAGAGAGGAGGATGAGCTGAAGAAGGACTAACTGGGTTAGCCTGGCAGCAGTGTTCAGGAGCAGAGGGGAGAGACTTCTGTCAGAATGAGCTAGTGTGGAGTTCAAAGAGAGAATACTGGAGAGGGAGACCGCAGGCATAAAAAAAGAAAAGGTTTTGCCCTGAAGTGAAGAACTGAAACCTGCAGGGGGCTTGGAATGGGGATGCAGGTGGGGAGGAGGTAGTAAGACACAGCTTTCAAGGCTGAGAATGTGAGAAGAAAGTGTAGACTTCCCTGTAGTCTAACTAAAACGTCCGCAGAGGCCTGAATCTACTATATACAGAGAAAGAGTACAGTGTCTGAATTTGGCCACCGGATCAAGCCTTCCTTGTCTGAATGGAAGTTCTATGCTTCTTCGAATGACCAGTAGGTGTGGTTAGCTGCTAACAGTATTATCTTACTTAGCTAAAGCTTATTTCTTTAACAATCTCAAAGCAAAGTGTTTCCGAGAAGCCATAATTAATGTC